ACCATGACGAGCTGTACCCCACGTAAAGAGTCAGTGATTTTGCTCAGTATTATTAAAGTTTCAATATTAATTAACGTTTTTAACTCTGCAATGTATTCTCAAGACTTTCAACTAAGTGATTGATGTTTATACATTATTATATAAATAATTGTTTTTCCATAATTATCGAAAACAGAATGGGTGACGGTAGTGCCCCACCCTACCACTGTGTAACGGCTTGTTTAAAACTAAGCGGAACTTGGAGGTACTCGGGTAACCTCGACATATACACACCTCCTCTTTGCATTTTGTGTGCCAGTACACAAGTGCCTACCCGCCTTAGGCCATCTTCCGCTATAACCTAGCTGATATGCAGTTTACAGTAAAAAAAAGATTTAGATTCAATGAAAAATGTTTATGATGAAACAACTTAAATTTAAAAATTTTTTTGAACAGCTTTCTTAAAATTCTGTTTCGGACGGATTGTCATTACATATAAAATTTTTAAAGGTAACTTTATAAGGAATAAAAAAAAATTGTAAAAAAAAACTCTAGTAACAAAAGAATACTTGTACTAAGTCTCCGCAGAACTGAATCTGACGTCCTTCACATATTTCAATTTTTGTTTAGATGCGCGTTAAAATCATTGCATTATCACAAAAGAGACACCAACAATTCATCTTATTATGTCATAACATGACTTGCAAATAATTTTCTTTTTAATATACGCATTTATGTGTTATTTGAATAGAGTCCATAATAATATCACGTATAATTTAAAGCCTTACGAAAGTAAATTCACAAAAACTAAATTGATTATTTAATCCTCATTTTGTCAAAATTTCAAGTATGTCTTCAATAAATATTTTTTATTTTTAAATTACGATCACGTTCAATTTAAGAAATTCATTCTATTCTTTCTTTTTCATTTCTATGATGAGAGATAAATGGATCATGAGACAGTAATAATTTCTTCGTATACAAGCCAATTGTGTCATAACATCGATGTTGAAATTTGTTAGTTGTCAAGAAAAATGCTATGACTTGAATAAAATTGTTCTCTGTAGAAAATAAATAGTAATAATAAAAATAAGAATGAATTTTCGTATTTACAGTTATTTACGGTATGAAAACTTTTATTCCAACTTTATTTTCTGTTCTTATTTTTGTTATATTTGATAGACCAGAAAAAAAGACGCTCCGACCCCTCTTTTAAAAAAAAAGTGCGAAAGTTAGTTTGCCGCCTGTTTTTGAAGTTTTTTGTCGTCAGTATCAATCATAAACTATTTTAGTCAGCTAAATTTATTCGCATAGTTGTTTTTCAGCCCAATAATAGTATGGAAAAGGACTTTTCTGATGGTAGCATTTTTATTGTTAGATTTATTAAAAAAACACCTTTCATCAAAAATGTAGGTATTCAAAAGACCTACAAAACGAGCCATGGTGGTTAACAATCAAATAACTGATTTAAAATAGTAGTTTTCCTACGAGTTGAAAAAGTCTTTGTTTGCGAACCGAGAGATTTGCGGCCCGAGCCGAAGGCGAGGGACGTAACGAGGTTCGTAAAGGAGACTTTTCGAACGAGTATCGGAAAACTGCTTTTTTGCCCGAGGAATTACTAGCCTCCCAAAACCACCCGAGGGTGGAAAAATTTTTTTTTTCAACTAATAAACAATAAGTCTGAAACATCTAAATATACAAAGAAATCAAAGCTCTTGTATGGCACTACAACTTCTCCAAACCTGGATATTGTACGTTTAACCATTTTCGTACCATTGCAATTATTTATAAACAAAACAGTTTTTTGAAAATTCTTTAGCATGATAGCATCCTACAGTGTCCAACGGGAGCTCATGTTGTTCATGAAGAGTTGAACTAGATATCTCTTATAAAATTAATTTAATTTTCGCAATAAATTGATAGTAAAATGAGCTGCAAAAAAATGTTTAATTGCAAATTTAAATATCGTCAACAATTTAAGTGTAATCTCTACAGGACCTTTTTCATCAAAAAGCTGAATTTTTTTCTTAATTAAAAAAAAAATGCCTGATGATCCCCAGAAGCCGAGATAATTTTTGCTTTAATGCTCACGGCTTTACAACTTAACATAAAGAGTTGAAGTTTAGACGTGTTACTTTTTAATGCTTATATTTTAAGGAAAAAAATATTTGATACTTATCAACTGCCGATTTACATCGAAAACACAATGCGGAAGTGAAGATTACTTGCGTCGTGACTGTACCAACTGAAGCTCGGGCGAACCCCCACCTCTGTGGCTGCTTGCACGTGGCTGACGCTGAATCTGATACCGCACGCTCAAAACCGCCTATGGTTGAAAAATTATCGATATTCCGGCTTGGGTGGGTTGTAGAACGACTTTTTTTTTTTAACTGGGGTAGCTTGCAAAAATATTACCTTCAGTGCACTTTTTTTTGTTTAAAAACCTTTTATAAACGCTTATGAACCTCTTTCAACTAACCATTTTAATACAATCTAAGTGCGTACTTCCATTGATGTATCACCTATCTGCCTTGAATTACCTGTTGTCTTCTTGACCAACACTGAAAAATTTATCGTTAAACAATTTGCAAATAACAAATTTTTTTACAAGTCAGAATCGAAAAGATAGTAGCATCCAGACTTAATTTTTTTAAATATTTTTTTTGGTGCAGCGTTATGTGGTCATTATAGTCGTGCTATGTACACGATTGTATAAACCAGCCGAAACTTAGACCGTACACTATACCACAGTTATCTATGAGTGCCATTTGCGATAAAATTAAAATTTATCTTTCACCCAAAAATCAATCTCCAAAAATACAGATACTCTTATTTTATCTATAATCGTATCTACGTCGTGTTATCTATGATCTTAGATGAGTGTTATAAATAAGGTCAGCGTTAGATGAGTGTTGAAGAGTGGTGTGGAAATGACATTTTTCCACCTTTATTGAATCCAAGAGCTACCGGAACTTTGATTTTAGATAAGTATGTCGTTGTAAAAAAATCAACTGGCAAAGTTGTGGCTTGGTTTTTTTTTGTATGGGGTTCATTTTTTTAAGGTTCATATTTACGTCAAAGATATATTATAATCTTGCCACAAACGACTTCACATTTTCTACCCGGTGTTTTAAGTTGTGGCTGGCTTATAAAATTGACCATGTGGCCTTACTATAATTACCACATAACTCTGCATTTAAATGGAATATGATGTCAATACTATATATTTGTACGAGTTTTAAAATTTATAATTTATAGAATAAGTGACGGCTGGTTTAATTGTTTGACTACTCTTGGATCTCAACTTTTGGGTTGGCACAATAGTTCCATGCATATGAATAGAATACTATGTGGACGGAATTTCTTACTTATCAAGCACCAGCCCTGGATACACTCCAAGTCCTATGTCCTATACCTTACACCATAGCACCATAACTGACCATTTACGGCAGTGTATGGGCCATGGGCACCGTACATCTCACGACGCATACGGGTTCTGAATTCGACTGTTGAATGATTTGACATCACGGTATATATATATTTATATATGAAGCCACATGATGGCTCTGTCGGTAGCGTGTCTGCCTACAGATCTTGATGGCCGGGGTTCAAATCCCACTCTGGACAAAAATTTCATCATTGAATGAGGTTTTTTTCTGGATGGGAGTTGTACTTCAATAAACCTACCGATCCATCTACCGTTTCCTCNTTACAAGTCAGAATCGAAAAGATAGTAGCATCCAGACTTAATTTTTTTAAATATTTTTTTTGGAACTTATTTCTTTTAACCATCCTTAGCTAAGTGTCGCAATTTTATTAGAATTAGGGTGTCCTATACGTTTATTTTATATAAAATTGAAAAAAGTCTTATGTGCAACGAAAAATCTCACATTTAATTGTAATAAAGATGGTGAATAACTCTATTGAAAAAATTACGAACAATTTTTTTCAACCCAACAGAAAATCATATCATTTTTCAAGGTGTAGTAAAGTAAAAATGAAAAAGTTATTGCGAACTGTTAAATCATCGTCTGATAGTCAGAAGTGGATGCGTGGTGATTGAAGGGGTGAAACCCCACGGGTGCATATGTTATCCATCAAAGGGAATTTTTTACTGGTTTTTACAGATGTGCCTGCAAAATTGCTTATTCTGTTGTTATGGATTCCATACCTATTGTTAAATTACTACGGATCCTACTCCAATTTTCTTGTAACCTTTTTCATTTTTCTAATTTCCCTTCTTATTTTACAAGTATATGTAACTATAGTATATGCTCCTAATGTAAAGTTCCCGTCAGATAACTAGATCATCTTTCTTAGTAAAAATCATTCCCAGATTGCAGCTATCGTTTTGTGCATACTTTACCTATAGCTTTACGTTAAAATGAAGGACTTTTTTTATTTGCCATCAACTTTATCGTATCGATATTTTTTTTTAATGATGCTAACTTTATTGATGAGCCTCCGATGGAGAAACCTCCGAAGGTTCACTTATAATTCAAAAAAATTAACTGATTGCTTTTAAAATTTTTATGGATGATTTTTTTCGGTTTCCTAAGACTTAATTTACTGATAATGCCTGAAAACAATCTTAATATTTCCTTACATGATATTACCGTATGACTGCTTAAGCTTGTTTCGCTGAGAATTTGGCCATTTTTTGTGTTACAATGAATAAATCACGTGGCATACACGGGAATACTTGTGCTGTAGAAAACATCAAGAATTATTTGATGTATAGTGCTACTTAAACCAGAAGTGCTTTTTTCCAATTACATATGCAGCTTTAAGACTTCGATACAAGAATTACTTTGTGTTCTATAATTTACTGTCCTTAATTACGATAATGGAAGCAAGTTGTGTTTTATAATGAGGTTCTGAACGTTTTACATATTTTGTAGTGTTTATTTTTAAGTCTTTTAACTATGAAAAATGTTGTGAATGATAATTGTAATTAAAATACAAAATATTTTGCATCGTTTATTGAAGTAATCACATTTGATATTTAAAACATCTTTCAGGCCGGATCGAGTAATTGCTGCGGCATCTATAGTAGTAGCTTCTACGTTGGGAGAATTATTTACGAATGCTGCGGAAACTGAGTTAGATTTTGCAAATGTCGTAGAGAATGAATTAAAATCATCCATCCCAGCTTTGCTGTGTTCTGTTCCTGGTTTTGATGCATCAAGCCGAGTAGACGACTTAGCAGCAGAATTAGGTAAACCAATTGCTAGTATAGCAATTGGTTCTGCTGAAGGTTTTAATCAAGCTGAGAGAGCTATCAACACAGCTGTCAAAGCTGGAAGATGGGTTTTATTGAAGAATGTCCATTTAGCTCCACAATGGCTTGTACAACTAGAAAAAAAACTTCACAGCTTACAACCTCATTATAACTTTAGACTATTTCTCACGATGGAAATTAATTCTAAAGTCCCTGTTAATTTACTTAGAGCTGGAAGAATATTTGTATTCGAACCGCCACCTGGAATTAGAGCAAACTTGCTACGAACATTTAGTACTGTTCCAGCCTCCCGTATGATGAAGCCTCCGAATGAACGAGCAAGATTGTATTTTCTATTAGCATGGTTTCATGCCATTGTACAAGAGCGCTTGAGGTACGTTCCTCTAGGATGGGCCAAGTACTATGAATTCAATGAAAGTGACTTAAGAGTTGCCTGCGATACTCTTGATACATGGATTGAGTCTACAGCAATGGGTAGAACCAACTTACCTCCAGAAAAAGTAAGTAATACCAACAAATAAATACTTACTAGTTGAAATTTTTCATGCATATATGCAAATATAGTTATTCATTTTTTCTGAATTTCATTAGAAAAATTTAAGGGAATACATTGCAGGGTCTCAGGGTATCTGCGATAGTGTATGTGCCAAGTATGCGATGGTAGGATCCACTGGTAGGCGCACGAAGTGACGCCGAGAAAAAGCGAAAAAAGTGGTAAGGGTGGCTAGTCATGTAAGAGATGATAGGTGAGCCAGGAGATAGTAGAATTTAGAGTAAAAATAGGTAGTAGAATGTTTTTTGCTATAAAAGGAAGAAGTAAGTTGGCTTAAGTATTGTTCTATCAAGTGGAGATAGCACAAGTGTTTCTTTACCTCAGAAGAACAAATTTCAGAATAGCTTAATTGAGTATATTTAAGTAGTGCCTTTGTATGCGTGCCAGCTGTTATATTCTAAGCATACATAAAATTTTTCAAGTTTTGTGGTTAGTTGTAAGTCCGTGTGCGGATTTCATGTAATTCCAGTTGTCTTAATGTGGTGCTTTCCTTTTACCATTTTGTAATTAATTTTGATGATTTCTTACTTGTTCCCACAATCAAAATGCGATAAGCTTGTTAACGTGCTGTGTTAAAATAAGCACAAGACAGTTGATTTTTTCTTTTCTTTTGAAGTAAGTCCAGTGAGAAAGAACAATTTCAAAGATTAATATTATACTTTACATAAATTTTTGAGCATTATTCAGGGGTTCCAAATTAAGTTTCTTTTTATATTTTGTTACAATATACGAGTATTTAATATTAATAAATAAAAATATTCAGTTAACTTTGTATTGTTTTTTCTAAAATAGAAGGGTGTTAATTAAATTACTAGTTAGTATTGTTAGTTTAAAGACTAAGTCAGAATTATTATCTCGTGTATTTTTAATGCATGAGGGATCTTATCGCATCGTAATTAAGTAATTATAAGTAAAGCATATTTGATATTGTTAATCTGAAGAATGTGTGAGTGAGTAAAGGTAATCTCAAAGAGAAAAGTATCAAAATCGTTCATTTGTCACATCTCGCCATTTAGATACATAATTTAATTCTTCTTAATTTTATATTGAGCGATCAAAGGCATCTAATTTGCTCCCAAGCCTTAATCTTATTGCAATCGTCTTATTTACTAAAGTCACCAACAATTATTTCTTTTGAATCAGTATGTTTCATGATTTTTTCTTTAAGGCTGCTCTGTTCCACGCAATCTAATATATATCACAAGAGTTATTCTAACTCTTCATAACCAATACGGGTTTGTTCGAAAGATCAATTTTTATTCTTCATACGAGGCGTTTCATGCAAAACGTCCCAGGCCCGCGGTGCGAGTGCTAAAAGTCACTGTTTTTAGCTCATTTTCTCGGTCTGATTTCTATCTTAAAAAAATGTTGCAAATAGAAATTTCTGCACACTTTTTAGTCAGCTTAACTAAAATTCCGGTTGGTTTTTTTTAAAAATTGAATTCTCACTGAAAAAAAAACAAAAAAACAAATTGTGCTACATCTCGAAAAAGAAATTTTTTATATTCTCTTTAATAGGATGGATAGAAAGATAAAGTTTTTTTTACATTAAAAACGCCTTCTTGCACAGGGGGCTCTCACTAAAAAAGTCGAGTATAACGGTATCAAAAAGTAGACGTTCGGCTGTTTGAACGCGTGCCGAGCCCTGGTAGCACTGCGCCGCCGCGCTTTGCTCAAGTAAACTATAAATGTTTTTAATTTGGAAATGCTTTCTAAACAAATATTTTTTATGGTTTTTAAGTTTTAGATGTAGGCTTTTTGGTTTTATTATTTTGTTTAGGAAAAAAATGATACTCAGAGCTCATAGATGGTTTTTTTAATTTCAATGTTTCATCGTTGATTGTAATGACAGCATGAAATTACAAAGTACTGGGTATTAATGTCGCTTTATCAAATCGAAATTTGAGTTTATTTTCACATTTTTGTAAGACTCTTTACTTAAATAAAGAACTTTTGTTTCCTTTCAATACTTCCTTGCCCAGTCGTAAAAGTTTTCTGCTGTTAAAATTGGGTTATAAGGGAAATTGTAAGACTAGCACGTCTTACACCTCTCTTCAAGTTGGCTCCAATACCGTCACACACGACCTTTATATGGGCAGTAGCAAAAAAATATCATGTACATTTAATTTTAAAATCTTTTTTGAGGAAAAGTTTGTTTTTAAAATTGCCCTTATTTTCGAAATGTTTACTGGCCCCATGAGTTATATAAAAACTTGTTTTACCAGAAACTTGAATTTTAAATAATTCATAACAACTTTTTGATACCTACACACAGAAATTGCATCATAATTAAGGTTATCGGCAATATCAGTAATACTTATACGTTTGAACTCATGTTTTTGTTTTTTTTTGTTTTTTTTAATAAATTACAATTGTAAAAATGGAAGCTTCGTTATTGTTCCTACGAAATGATTGGGTTAAATTATGTATAACAAATGCATAATATTTTGAAAAATCTTAAGTTACAACAAAATCCCCACCTTTAAAATCTTTTTTAGTTCATATATTAAGATGATTGTTTCGAAACAAAATAATCATGATTTTTGAGTTTTCATAGTTTTTCTCCTAAGAAGTCAACAAAATCATGACAATTCAAAGTCTGTATGGTGATAGTTAATCGGTTCGTTTAAAAACACGACTTATATTCGATTTCAAAAATATTATGTTTTTTAAAACATTCAACAAAATGTGGACGTAACGTTGACACATTGGGACCTAAGAAACATATTATAATAGAGATACTGCACACTACTTCTTAAATACTGTCGTAATAATTTTTAAGAAGTAGTTCAGTATTCTGCAAGAAACGCTCTACATCTATAGCTTAAAGAATTAGTTTAAAATTTTCATGATATGTACATGCGCGTACATTGTGTGTACCACTAGGTCCAGCTAAAACGTAGTGTAATGGTCGTAGTTGTAGAAATTCAGTATAACCTTCTTCGTAATCACTATACTTTTTTTAAATAAGCGATAAATTTCATTCATATTTTTAAGCAGTAATTTTAGCTGAGCATGGTTTCGTTCACCCTTTTTCTGCTTGATGGATAGAAATCTTTCATACCTGGTGTTAATCAACTTATACCGCCCCTTTTATGAAAATTCTTAACTAAAACCATCAATTCTTTTGAAAGAGAATAACCTTTTCGTTTAGGTAGTATTGACAGAACGCCACTATTTTATTCTAATATTTTCTCTGCTCAAGCTTTTCTCTCACTGCAACCTAACTCTCTGATGAAGTTATTACGACTTTAAAAATCAGGAACAAAAGTAAACAGCTGTGTTCTCTATCGATTCTCTTAGTGTGAGCAAACTAGATTTTTGACTGAGAAATCCAGACTGGGCTAAAAAAAATATCTTTGTATAGATCTCGAGCCCAACAACAAACGTAATTACTTTTGGACAAAAAAAATATCAGTAATAGGTCTAAGCAAATAGTAAAGATGTCTAAAACACGTTTTTTGCTTCTACTGGAAAAGCTGTAATTCAAACAAAAATACGTTCCGCATGAAAAAGATACACAATTTCCAGACGAACAAAATCAGCCCTGGCGGACCTACATAAGTTGTGCCGTTTTTCCTCAAATTACCAAAAAGATCCAATTTCGCCGCCAATGAAGGCCACGCCCTCTTCCTTGCAGCGCCGCGCGCCGTGCTTATCCAGTGACATCATGTGCTAATCCTGTTAAAATTTGAAGTCAAAATAATAATTACAACGCCAGTTACAAACTACAGATAAACAGGGTGGAATCAGCTCTTTTTGATAATTTGCAGAAAAATGGCAAGGCCGTTTAAAGTCCACCAGGGCTCATTTTGTTTGTCTTGAAATTGCGCATCTTTTCCATGCAGAACTTTTTTTTATCTAAATTACAGATTTTCCGGTATAAACAAAAAATCTGTTTTGGCCATTTTGACCATTTTTTGAACCTATTGCTGACATTTTTTTTGTCCGAAAGTGGTCACGTTTCCTGTTTGGCTCGAGAACTGTACAAAGAATTTTTTTTTCAGCCCAGTCTTGATTTTCATCAAATCGAGATAGTTGCTCACATTATCTGTAGACTATGAAAATTTTTATTTTATTTTTTTGAGAACTACAACTGCTCCTTTAAAATAATCATTTCATTTTAATTTTAATTTTTTTTCTTCATTATAATCTAAATCAGATCCTCGCTCATGGTTAAAAATAACATGGTAGGTCAATGAGCCATACCAATTTCGGTACAATTCGCACAGGAGCATGAAAAATAAAAATGAATAAAAATAATTAAATTATTTAAAAAGTAACAGATAATTTCTGTCTGTAAATTTGAATTTCTAGTAAAAAAAAAGACTTATGTACTAGATAAATTTGGCGCGCAAGCCTACAGCAGCCGAAGGATAATGATTTAATGATTACGTTTAAATTCGACTATCTGCGATAGATGTTAAGTTGTGTGGAAAATTTTTCATCTTATTATTGAAAATAAACATTTGGCTACGACATGTACATAAGAGCCTGTGAAAATATTTTAATATGTTGTAACGACATCAAAAGAAAAGTCAACAGTTTTTGATAAACGTGTTAAAATTTTTTTTTAAATAGAAAATTCATCCTTTTATTAGTGACTACTTTAGTTGAAAAATTTAGTACTGTTACTGCTGTAGACGTTAACATTCAGAGCAGTAAGTTTCAGTCAATTTATTTGGATTCACTAAGTATATCGCAATTATTAAGAAATATGAAGAAGTTGAATAATATTAAATTAGAGCATGAGTTTTATTTATTTTTGACGGATATTTATGAAGACTATTTTGCACAAAAAAAATGTATCAAGTAGTTTATAAACAAAAAAACAACTTTTATCGGATAGTAGCTACATTTAATAATTAACTCTTTTATCCTTTATTCTGTGACAGAAACAGTTATTTATTTATACTTAGCCGTCTATTTAGTAAATAAATGTCAAAG